TTAAAACAAGAATAAAAAATTCGAAAAAATCAAAAAATAAAATAAAAAAATAAAATAAAAAAATAAAATAAAATAAAAAAATAAAATAAAATAAAAAATAAAATAAAATAAAATAAAAAAAATAACAAAATGAAAAAAGTATTCAGCATTAAGTTAAAATAAGTAAAAAATAATATAAGAACAATAATGGAGCAAAAAATCAATGTAATGAAAAATAAATAATAAATAAATTATATAACTTGTTATAAAAGTTAAACAAAATTTGAAATAAAAACAAGAGTTAAATTTAATAAAATAGGAAACGAAAAAGTAAATAAAAAGTTGATTAATTAATAAACACAATCACAATAAAAATCTAGAGCTGATAACTACCGTTGCGATACCTTTGGGAAGGTAGAAGAACGCTTTTATTTAAAAATGATTTGCGGTGCGTTGCTTAAAAGTATTAACTATAAATAATACGTACATACATACATACGTATGTTTGTAATTAACGCTAAATTGCCGCGAAAACTGTTTTGAATTCAATTCTGATAAAATTTCCACTATCAAGCACAAAATAATAATATTATACAACAACAAAATGTCAGTTTTCACGCATGGCATACATTTATACATAAATACATATGTATGTATACATATACATATATTGTGTTTGTTGTCTGAAAGCTGTACCAATGTTATCAGTTTTGTTTTTGCAACTGGCCGTTTGGCAGTAAAAAATGTTAAAAAAAAGAAGAAAAATAATATAATAAATGCGTGTTTGATTAAGCTACATATAAGTTTGTTTATAAGCACATGACACACACATAACCACATACATATGTATGTATGTAAGAGCATGTATATGAGTTTTTGTTTTATTTGTAGTGGTCGGACTTAACTGGCAGTCACCGGCTTACATACACATGTACCTGTGCATATATATACATACATACATATATGTATGATATCAATTTAGCTTATATACAATAATTCTCTTTATTCTCTTACTTTGCGCTTATTGTGGTCTTATATTTCACCGCAGCCGGCGCATGTTTTAACTTATTGCGTCTTATTTATTGCAACAATTTGCCTCCTCCCGTCTTTTCCTTTTCGATTTTCGTTCGCTTGTTTTCGACAATCGCCACCTCTTTTACATTACAATAATAATCGATTCTCTTTGCCTCCCTTTGAGAATTAACCGACTGACGAATTCGAATTGATTGCTTTAAAACAGCTCATTGGCGGTTGAATCTGGATTTTATTTGTTTGTTTTTGCCAAGGCACGTTTTCATAATAATTCTTACTAGAGAAATACATAGATGTGCAAAAATACGAATGCCATGAGAGCAGAAATCAACATTTTATACGCAGGCATACACACATACAGGCATATGTATGTACATATGTATTTTGTTTTATTGTGGCGCTTGTTTTGATGGAGGATATCCTATGTGTTAGTTGCTGTATTTTCGCCGGGCGAAAACTTTTTGTTTATCTGATGTTGATCTCACATTTTATATCCTATTTTAATACCAATCTATGTATGCATGTACATACCCTGCAGGGGGAAAATCAACTAGCATGCAAAAATTCTAGTTAAATACTAGTATATTTAAGTTGAAATCATACCAGTTCGTTATCAATAACGGAAGAAATAATAATTTTCACCACGATTTGTTGTTGTTATATCGGCACGCTGCGGCTGAATTCCATTCTCTTCGCCGTTCTATTGAAGTGACTGGTTGTCGACTTGTTAGAGGTTATCGATGTAGTGCATTATGTCCCAGGTTCGAATCCAAATAGAGGCAAACTAGTTTCTTATTTTATTTTTATTTTTTATTATTTTTTTTTAATTTCTTCTTCGAATTCGTTTATAATTTAAAAAAAATTTAATATTTAAAATTTTTCTTTTTAATTCTTGGTGAACCAAAAATTTTCCCCACACCGTCAATTCGTGTGTTGTTCTATTGAACTGCGCCGATTTCGTTGCTCTTTGCATCGTAACGATTGCCGAGTGGTTTGAGGTCTTCACTGTGGTGCGTTAGTGTCTCGGTTGGATTCTTGCAGCCGGCAAAAACAATTTTTTTTCGATGAAGTAGGAATTGAACATGCCTAAATTAACTGGTATACAACTAGTTCAGAGCTGAAATGGAATCGGACAATTGCCAACTCGTAGGATATGGTTAAAAATACCTGTTGCTTACATGGAAAACAGATTCAAGATGAACTAGTTGGTGGGAAAATGTATACCAGTTGGATTCTAGTTAACAACTAGTATTTCCTCCTGCAGTGTATATATAAGGTTAAGTTGATTTTTTTCAGCTTGCGGCTTCTATGTAAACTCTGCAAGCTGTCGGGGTATTAATTGTAAATATAAAGATGGACCACATTTTTAAAGTATTTCACGGTGGCTGCATAAGCCGAGTGGTTAAAATTGCGTACTAACATTCGGAAGGCCAGGGTTTGAGTTCTGGTCCATCCAACAACCAAACATTATAGAAATAAAATTGCTGTCGCCTCGCGGCAGGGAATGCCAATTACCAATATTATTTGTTAGTTAGAAAAGAAATAAAATATTTCCCAAAAAACACAAAAAATTCAAGTTTGTGCATAATTTTCGTCCCTTAAAAGTGCAAAAATAAAAGTTGAACTTTTTTGTTGCAAATAACTCTTGAAGATAATGACCGGTTCCATTCGCACTTAATCCATCCTTATTTCATTTAGTTTCATTTCTGCTTCTTCTTTTTGTATAATTTTTGATTTTGCCTTATCTTGCATTCTTTTTATGCATTTTTTGTTTATTTTGCTTAATTTTTATGACCATGTTTATTATTTATTACGTTTTTGTTGTTCCGAAAATGTTATAATCACCGCACAATTGGGGTCTTTTTTAGTTATATTTTTAATGATTTTTAAACGCAAAATGGCATTTTTTGTTGTAATACTGGCAAAAAAAAAACTTAAAAAAGTGAGTTTTCATTTTAATTCATTTTAAGTACAGTCCCTTTCAACAGCAGAAAAATAAATTCTCAAAATATTAACTACTAAAGTAAATCAATTTTGAATTTTTTTTAGAATCGAAGAGCACTGTGATCAATCTTTATCACTTTAATAAGCATGACATGTAAATGTAAAATTATCTTTTGTTATTTTGTTGTTCCGAACAATCGCTCCAGCCGAATAAACATTTTAGCGGTGCTTCTTGAAAAAGGTCAGCGCAGTTTGGTTTGGCTTTCTAGTTGCACGAGGGTAAGGGAAGAAGGGTTTTTCTGAAAGTGAACATTTACGGTCATTTTTGCGCATGTGTGCTTGCCACGTGTATTGTTAGCGAGGAAATGCATTTTTTCATACTTTCTCTTATAAATCTTTGGACAAAAAGGCAAAAAAACAAAACACAAAGAAGAGAAAGATGGAGACAAGAGTAATAACAAAAAATAAAAAATAAATAAATAAAAAACTTCTAT